AATATTATATTATATTATATTATATTAATATTACATTATATTAAAATATTATATGTATTAAAAAAAAATTCTGAACATTAATTGCGAGATAGAAATAAGACAACCCACTATAGTATCCTAATAGCAAAGGGCGTGTGTCGTGAACAACAACTATGTGATAAAATCTAGACAAATCAGGATCCCTACACTTAGGCACTCCATCGCGGTACCCGGCTGATGTTGAAAAGCCATTTTCGCGCACATAATCAAGTAACTCGGGCTCTGCCACGCGCTCTTTCCTTTTTAATAAATTCCCTCCCTGACACTCAAGTTCAACCGACCGATGACGCACGATTAATCACGACTAATAACCAATCCACGGCCCGTCTTTCTCGACAATATGTACTGCGCAATGTGCGATTCAAATGAATGAGAAATTTGCTAACGAATGTCGGAATAGCAAGACTTCTTGTCAATCTCGGAGCGCGAACAGATGATCGCTCAAAGAGGATCTACATCGAACAGAACTCAACGTCTTGACAGCCATGCGTAAACGTAAAGTGCAAGAATGACCATGCGCGTGCAATCACTGCAATCGATGCGTTCCAAAAGTTTCCATCCAGTGGTCTGTTTTCTGTTCCTGCACTAGACTGCACTAGCATTCTGTTTCCCACTTTCAACAAATATCAAATATATAACTATCTCCCTTCAAGTTCCAAAAGTGTACACTAGTTCAGCCACAGAAAGCCACATCTCGGAAGGAAAGTGTCTGATTACCTTGCCGTACGTAATTTTTATGTAATTATATATTCGTTGAATAAAAAGTATTTTACGAAAATGAAAGAAAATACAATGTCTCTTCAATCATCTAACAAATCCATTCCAACCTAGCATATATATGTTTCAATCTAGCATATATATGTTTTTTCGACATGATATGAAATAAACTTTTAGGTTATAATGTTATATATTTTATATACTTTTTTTCTTTAAATAATAATTCTAATAAGCTTGACAAATTTTTTAAAACAGCAATTTATTACATATAAAATTTATATATAAAATATTAATAAAGTAACTTTAATAAAAAAAAGAGAATAAATCTTTTATTAAAAAAAAATGTTTAATTTTTCCATTACCCAGTAGAAAAAGAGAGAGTTTTAAAATATTTTGTAATAAAATTTAATTTATTAAAAATCTATTTTGACTGAATCAAAAAGTTAAGCATAAATTAATTTGAAAGAAAAGAAAAATAAAAGAATGATGTGTTCAGGAACAGACAGTGATTTGGAAATGGCACTGCCAGATTTCACAATTCCATAAAGATGCTGAAGCATAATTTCTTAAAGACATCATGGTGCAAATTGCGCACGCGATATATACACAAAAATGCTTCTCTGTCAGAGGCATTTAAAAGTAAAGAATGTGCAACTGCAAAGATACGTAACATTGGCATATTGGCACATATTGATGCTGGTTAGTATTGTTTTGATTGATTACTCTAATAATATTACTTTATTAATTATAGCGAATAAAACATACTTAACTTATTTTGACGGATATGTTTAGATATAAATAACTATATTTTTCTTTAGGAAAAACGACTACAACTGAAAGGATGTTATACTACTCGGGTCTCATTAGAAATATGGGAGAAGTTCATCATGGCAACACAGTGACCGATTATATGGAACAAGAACGTCAGCGTGGAATAACAATCACTTCAGCTGCAGTCACGTTCAAATGGAAAGATTATCGTTTCAATTTAATAGACACCCCTGGTCATATTGACTTTACTATGGAAGTCGAACAGACTTTGCAGATATTAGATGGTGCAATTGTAGTTCTAGATGGATCTGCTGGTGTGGAAGCCCAAACATTAACAGTTTTCAGACAAGCAGACAGGTATAATATACCTCGGATAATCTATGTTAACAAAATGGATAGGGCAGACGCTGATTTTAATATGAGTTTACAGTCTATTGAATCCAAATTAAACGTAGAAACACTACCTATTCAGATTCCTGTAGAGAAGGCAGGAGTTTTAGAAGGTATTATAGATATAATAACTATGGAAAAATTAATATTCGATAAAAAAAATCAAGGTATGCATTTAATAAAAACAAAAATAGCTGAAAGTGAAGATGCAAGATTATGGAATATTGCCAGTGAGCAGCGACGATTATTGACCGATAAGCTGTCAGGCTTAGACGACAAACTGGCAGACATTATTATAGAGCAAGAATCTCTGGATAACATACAGCCACAAATGTTGGTCGATTCCTTACGTAGAATCACTATAAGTAGGAAAGGTGTGCCTGTAACATTAGGAAGTTCCTATAAGAACATTGGAGTACAGCCTTTAATGGACAGCGTCATTCTCTATCTACCGTCGCCTACGAATGTATATCAATTGAATCCATATCGATGCTTTGAGAATAATTTAGCAGCCAGAGTCTTCAAGATTGTTCATGACAAGCAAAGGGGACCAATTACTTTTTTCAGGATCTATTCTGGCAATATGAAAAAGGGTCAAAAATTGTATAATATAACGCGTGATCAAATCGAACAATGTACTCGTCTATACATTGCTTGCGCCGATGATTACGAAGAGGTAATCGAAGTGAGTTATGGTAATATCGCGGCTGTAAGTGGACTAAAGAGTACTATCACGGGCGATCTAATAACGACAAGCCAATCCATAGCCAATCATGCTAAACAGATTATGCTGAAGGAGGACCCGAAGCAGCTAGACTATGTGAACAACTTCTTTGCATCTGGAGTAAACTTGCTCGATCCAGTTTTCTTCTGTTCTATAGAACCGCCCTCCCTTTCGGCACAATCTGCCCTAGAGACTGCTCTTCAAGAACTGCAGAGAGAAGATCTTAGTCTGCATGTGAAGAATGATCCAGAGACAGAACAGATTGTTCTTGGAGGGATGGGAGAGTTGCACATAGATATCATTAAGCAAAGAATCAAGACAGAGTATAAAATTGATGTAGATCTGGGTCCCTTGCAAATCGCTTATAAGGAAACGATTCAAGATGCCGTTAAAGATACGCTATCTATGGAGCACAAGATGGGTCATACGACGCATAAAGTTACTATCATTTTGTCTTTAATACCTAATTATGAGGGAAAAGAACAATTACTTCTTGATAAGTCTCCAGATAATGCTTCGAATATCAACAGTATTCATCCACGGGTAATGAGCGCGATTAAAAACGGTATAAAAGCTGCATTGCTACATGGTGTGAAATTAAGTTGTCCGGTAATTAATGTTGGCATCAAGCTCCACTGGCTAGAAGTAGCACGCGGTACCTCAGATACCATTATTTCTGCCGCTACCTCACAATGCATTCGAAAGGTCGGTGTATATAATCTCCAAATAAGTTCTATTAGTTACAATAATATTATTTGATGTTCATGATTTTATATATATATATATATTTTATATATAATCATTGCGTATTATTTAATAGGATGTTTAAATAACAATGTTTTTCATATGTGCATAGTTATTACAAGATGGAAATAGCATGTTATTAGAACCCATAATGCAACTGGAAATCGTTACACCAGAGGAATATTCATCGAGTATTAATTCTGATCTTACTCGTAGACGAGCAATAATACAAGAAATTGATATACGTGGCAATAATAAAGTGAATAAATTATATAATTATTTTATTATTATTGTTTGACAAAATATGACTAAATTTGTATTTCATTTCATAGGTGATTAGAACTCTTGCGCCATTATCGGAATTATTAGGATATTCAACAACATTGAGAATCATCACATCGGGTAATGCAACATTTTCATTGGAATTTAATCACTATCAACTAATGAGCTCTATCGACGAAGAACAAGCTATCGAAAAAATTAAAGGATTTTAAAATGAATACTACTTCTATTAGTAGAAGCAATAAACAAAGAGATAATATTATTGAAAGTACAATTTCACTTCATTTTATTGACTCAATCTAATCAAAATATATTGCAACATTATCATTGGTGCGTTACAATCTCCATATACAATTCTCAATAGCGACTACTAAATATGATACAGAAAGCTTTTTATAATGAGCTGCAGCAGAAAAATCGCTAGCTATCAGAAAATTATCATTATTTTCATTCATGCATCATAACTAGTAGTCGCGCATAAATATATTAATATTGCTTAAGATCATGCAAAAATGTCATACGTCGTAAAATATATGTATATATTATATTGTATGGAGGGATTAAATGTTATAATGTCGCGTGAGACTGGAAAAACGACAGCCGCGTATAAAAATTTATGACAACGCAGATAACACGAAAGCGAGATTTTCTTTTTAACGCGAAAAAATATTGGAGAAAAAATTTAGGAATTCCCGCATTCGTGTAATTTTTATTTATCCGCCCTATAATATTAAATATACATTTAAATTATGCAAACTCTTGATCTATCTTAAGCACAATTCAAAGAGCTCTTAAGACTCTTAATGTACTTAAAAGTTTGAGCTAAAATCTTGTTTTGTCTTATATTTTAAATTTTTATTTTCACAATAGAATTATAGTATAAAATTTCATTTGTCTCAATGAATCGCTTACAAAATGACAAATCTTACATTCATTATTTCTAATTCGTTATATTTTAAATGTTAAATATACTTATATCACTTGTATGCAGACATTATTGCTCATATCTGCGATAATTTCCTTTAAGGTGCAAATAACTATCGTTTTTTCTCTTCAAATATACTTTTCTTGTACCTACATTTTATATTTACAACAAAAAAAGATTATTTCATCAAGTGACAATTTAAAATTTCAATTGACAAGATTCACCTATAAAGAGGGAAATATTTCATATATACAAAGTTACAATTAAAAATGTCATATATACAAAGTTACAATTAAAAATTTCAGATTGACAAAATGCATCACGAATAGGAAAATACTGAGAGTCAAATATCTATTCGCAGACTATTAAAATCTGAATACACAAATCTTTTCTATATATGTGCTCGCAGTGCACATAGAAATTTTGAAAGAAAGATACAATTGAAAAGAAAAAGGTTAGCTATTCATAAGCAAAATCGCGTGAAAGAATTTTTATTAAGAGTGATCAAAAAAATTTCGTTGTAAGGAGCACACGCATAATACTTCTGCTCCCTCTTGTAGAAATCCTCCACGTCATGGTACTCCCGTTTTTATTCGGGATCGTTCTCTTCGTTGGACCCGTGCTCCACCATATCGTCGTGGCGTCACAAGCTTACAAGCTTTGGGGGATTCGCATCTGGGGAGCTGAGATCCACGGCGGACAAATTGCTTCTCTGTTGCGTCGAGCACGATGGTATCAGGGGCGTCGAGACCGGTGTAAGACCAGTACCACCTTCCATTAGGGACTCAAAATTAAACGGTATACCACTGGTTGGAGTAGTAATCGGCATACCGGCTACATCCATCGATGATTTCATGAAGGATGGTGTTTCCACCGTCTTGAAAGCAAGCGTGTCTGGTCTCTCTTTGGGCTCCACGAACATTGTCAGAGAATTCAGTCTGTTATTGTTGTCCAATCCGACTGGTAATGAATTAGGTCTATTCGGTCTCGTTGCCGCGGCTACCGTTGTGTCACCTTTCACAGATTCGGCAGCAAATTGATCCTCGAC